CCTAATCCTTTGCCCGTTAAGCTGATCTAATTCCTATGCTGGCCAAAGGATCAGCATCTAAGTCCCAGCGAGCACTAACACAGTTTAGCACTGTAAAAATGCCCACGCTTAGAGTGCACTTTAAATCCCATTCCTCGGAGCCCTGGGGCTCTACCGAGGGGACCGCAGGGGAGGGCAGTGGTGGTGGAGGAGGGGAGGGTGTTGGGAAGGCAGGCAGAGGAGAGATGTGAACAGGAGGGCTCCAGTCTTCCTGCCTCACTTTACACACAGCAGCCTTGCTTTTAATTTGCTTTTTATTCGGGGGGTCTACATTTGACTTTTTACAGCAGGGATTTGCCAACTGAAATGCCTGTAGACGCAAGCAGGTAGCACAAATAAGAGAAGTGGGCGAGTGGGAGGGCGTCTGAGGCAAAGCAGAGGCCCTGTGCTTTTCCTCTGTTGCTGCCAGGTGTTGCTATCCAGGAACACAGACCTAGGCTTGCCAGATCTTTCTCTCTCTCTTTCTCTCTCTCTCTCTTTTTTCGAATGGATCCAGAAATCCAGATTTCCATGTGAATCTCCCAGTACTTAAATGTTACAACTAATTCTAATTTAAAAACAGAATGCTACAGAGAACAAGCAGAACAGGTCCATGGGCTAGACCTGACCTTGGCTCAGCATTTTCAATCTTTGTTGCAAGTCCTCCGTGGTTAGGGTGCAGTCAGCCCTGATACAGTTAACACTGTAGCAGCTAACAGTTGAATGGAGCACTGAAAGCTTACCATGCCTTATCTCATTTAATCCTCACCACTACTAGGTGAGGCAGGTGAGTATTTCTTACAGATAAGGAAGCAGGCATAGGAAGATTAGATTAAGTCATTTGCTCAAAAGCACATAGCTGTAAGAGGAGGAGCTAGGACTGCCACCCAAGCAGGCCGGAACCAGGCCACTCACTCCCTGTGTGGTGGCCTCGCCACAGCCAGGACGGTCAGCACATTTATGAAGAGGGTAGCTTGGGCTACTGGAAAGAGCATTGGAGTAGGAGTCCCAAAACCTGGCTTCTTGTCTCAGCTTTGACATTTGATGTCTTTGTAATCTGGAAAAAGTTCATCTCTCTGGACCTCAATTATATACTTTTTTTTTTTTTTAATGTTTTTATTTTTTTATTTATTTCTAGGAGAGAGAGAGAGAGAGAGAGTGCGAGCAGGGGAGGGTCAGAGAGAGAGGGAGTCACAGACTGAAACAGGCTCCAGGCTCCGAGCTGGCAGTCAGCACAGAGCCCGACGCGGGGCTCGAACCCACGAACCGCGAGATCATGACCTAAGCGAAAGTCGGACGCTTCACCGACTAAGCCACCCAGGCGCCCCTACTCAATTATATACTTTTAATCTAGAAGACTAGCACAATGATATCACCTGCCTGCCTAGCCTTGAATGCTCAGTACATGTTAATGGGTTGGATTAGGATCTAAAACTGTTCACATATGACCTTGGGAAGGCTTTCCCAGCCCCCAGACAGAATTAGGCTCTTCATGTGCTCCCTCAGGACCCTGCTTCTGCCCATTACAGCATGTACCATTATTCAGGCACATATATGCATGGGATATGTGCCATCTTGTTCCAGAAAGCGATAAGGTAACTCGTGCTTAAATGCATCTATCCAGAGCCCTCTTCCTCTGCAGATAAACACACACATTCTATATCCTAAGAACCTCAAGAGTAAGAATTGAATTTTATTCATTATTTTGCCCGCAGTATCTAATGCAGTGCTTGGCCCACACAAGGACATGGTAAATATTTGTTGAATTAGTGAATGAGTTAATCCCAGGAATTCCCTTTCTGAGAGTGTATTATCGCCTTGGGTCTGCACTGAGGAAACAGCATCGCTTAACTTGCTAGCCTGTGGGCTCTCCTTGTTCAGCCTTCCTTAGGTGCCTATCAGGGAAGGACCCAGTGTGGGGCATGGTAAACTTCTTTGTCCCATTGTCCTTTCTGCACATATGGTCATTTCAGCTGCTGGCTGGGGCCACAAAGCAAAGCGTCCTTCATTCACTTATTGTTCATAGGGTGCCTTCCTCCCCCTTTCTGAGCTGCCGGGGTGAGACAGATGTCGCCTTGTCAGCAGCGTCTTGGGACGATTCTGAATAAAGGGTGTGTTTTCTCCCCTGTGCCTTTCACAGTGTCTGGATGCCAGCCGCCCATGGCTCTGCTATTGGATTCTGCACAGCTTGGAACTCCTAGATGAACCTATCCCCCAGATGGTGGCCACAGAGTGAGTCTGGCTTCAGGGAACCTGGGCCGTTCTCTGAAATTCCGTTTTGAATTGGAATTGGTTCTTTTTGTTTTGTTTTCATTTTATTGATTTTGAATGAAAAACACATCATGCTACAAAGAAATCCTTGGCCTCCTCTTGACCCCAGTAACTTCCTGAAACTCCCCCACTTTAGAAGTCTATTGTGAGCTCGTGGGTAGAACAAGACTTTGAACTCCCAAGAGAAGGATTCTGTTTTTTCTATGCCTTTTCTTTTGGCTCTTGCTCTGGTCTTGGAGAAAATCCTTCATCATCAATTCTGAGAGACATGATTTTGCCAGAAAGTACAGTATGCATTTGAATAGCTTTTGTGAGGAAGCCTGTGCCAAGCCAATGAGCAAAAATGCCTTTGCTTTCCATAGACACCTCCATAGACGTCCATCTTCACCAGTGCCTGGGGGATACTGTAGCTCTTGAGGTCCTAGATGTGTTAATACCCTTGGTGCCCAAAGGCCTTGGCTCACAATCTTACCAAACTTCTGATTTATGAGTACAGATCTAAGCAACTACGATTCTTCCCAAACTGCTGGCACAGATGGTGTTCTGGGAATGAGCATGGGACCTCATCCTTAGGAGCTCATCACAATTTATACTTTAAAGAAGAAACTTTAGGGATACCTGGGATAGGAAAGGGCAGCCAGGAATTGGATCTGACGCTCTAGTTCTCACTGAGAATAAACACGTTCCCTTGGCAGCATCTTGCGTTCATCTGCTCCCCTGTGCTCCTGAGGGAGGGGACTCTGGGAGGAAAGGCCCACGAGCCAGGTCTGTTTGTCCACAGCACACAGCGACAGCTGGGCAAGGGTGTGTGCAGGCTAGCCCATGCTCCTCCCGGGTCCCGGGGCCCCTGCCCGGGGTCACTCTGTCAGGTCAGAAGAACAGAACCACACTTGTCTCATTCGTTCTGCCTTAACAATGACCTCTCATTCTTGCCTTCCTGGGCATGGTGTCTTGTGATGACTATGGATAGGGAAGATAATGAAGAATTAGGCCATTAACCCCTGTGATATGGACGAAGCTTTCTGAGAGAGAGGAAAAATATGCATTGTCCTCATCATGCGGCTGCTGCAAGCCTGGGTGCTTCTGGCTCTGGAAGTCGAATTGGAAACAGTTTCTGCAATAACAGGAATTTAATTGTCAAAATAAAGGCCCATGTGTTTTTGAAATACCAGTTGGGGGTTGTGGATTGTTTGGGAAATTTCTCCCCCACACATACACAATCAGGATGCACTCTAGGGGAAATGGGAGAGTCGTGTATGAAAGAAAGAAAAAAGCGATGGAAGATTCTGGAAGAGGGAAGTACAGGTGGGCCCCTGCAGAGGACGTAGTTCCTAAAGAGGAAGAACTTGGGTCAAACTGGGGTCAGCATCGATTTCGAGGGTTCTTTTCTAGGTTGTATACTTAGTGCTTGATAGGTAAGCACTTTGCTTGATAGGTAAAACTCCTTCGCTGAGGAAACGAGTGTCAGAGCAACTCTCATGGCAACATCAGATAGGAAGAGAGGAGCCCCTTGAAAGGGCTTTTCACAGTGAACAAGTGGAGACAGCCCAAATATCCACAGTAGGGATGTGCTAAAGTGTATTTGAAGTTTAAGTAAAATATGGTGCAATGCATACAGAGAAATTCTGTGCAGCCATTTAAAAACTTAAGTCAACAATATTAATTGTACTTACTATAGTGGTCATTTCACAATATGTACAAGTACTGAATCACTATGTTGTACACCGAAACTAATACGATATTGTTTATCAATTATATTTTAATAAAAACCAATACATATAAAGTATATATTTGTATGGAAAAATGCATGTATTTACATAGAAAGATACCATGAATTAAGTGAAAATAGTTAAAAAGATTCAGCTTCTACAGATTAAAAATATAGCTGGTTAGCAGCGCCTGGGTAGCTCAGTCGGTTGAGCATCCAATTCTTGATTTCAGCTCAGGTCATGATCCCAGGGTTGTGGGATTGAGTCCTGCATCAGGCTCTGCACTGAGCGAGGAGCCTGCTTGAGATCCATTTTCTCTCTCTCTGTCTCTCTCTGTCCCTCTGTCTCTCTGTCTTTCTCTCTCTCTCTTCTCTCTCCCCCTCTGCCCCATTCCCCCATTCGTACACTCTCTCATTTTTTCTAAAATTAAAAAAAAATATATGCGTGTGTATGTGTCTATACATGTATGTGGCTGGTTATATGCACAGAGAAACCAGAAGGATGTATACACACTTAGTAGTAGTTATTTCTAGATGGTGAGGTTAAAGGTGAGTTTTTTCCTTTTTTTTTTTAAAGCCTATTTCCATGTTCTAAAACTTTATTTATTGTTTTGTAATTAAAAGAATGTTTTAAAACTAAAAACCTACTTTGTTCTCATTTCAAGAACCAGTTGATAGTGAATGACAGAATTTCTGCTTCACAGCTGCCTTAAAATCTTTACTTGTGGTTTTTCTGACTTAACAAACTTTTAACGAATTACTTAGGCTTTCCAACAATGTATTTTGTTTTGTGCCTAGCAGATAGTTCAGTCTAGGTTCAGATAATAACTGTTATCAACAGAGCCTAGTAGCTCTGACCTATAAGGAAATAAACTATTTTTAGTAAGATATGAGAAATCTTAATGATTTCTGTAAAAATACTGGGATTTTTAAAAGATTGTCTGATTTCGGATTTATTTTGCACAGAGAAAAGAAATGCTTTGAAAATATGGTCAGGTGGGGTGCCTGGGTGGCTCAATCGGTTGAGCGTCTGACTTTGGCTCAGGTCATTGATCTCACAGTTTGTGGGTTCGAGCCCCACGTCAGGCTCTGCTTACAGCCAGCTCAGAGCCTGGAGCCTGTTTCAGATTCTGTGTTTCTCTCTCTCTCTGACCCTCCCCTGCTCACATTGTCTCTCTCTCTCTCAGAAGTAAATAAAACATTAAAAAAAAAAAAAAGAAAATATGGTCAGGTTTCTGTCCCTTCTTCTTCATATGTATATTAAGGTGCAGAGTTTAGCTATGGAGTTTTATTCTTTTCCTGCCCATTCTTTCCCCACTCTGCCACTTAGTACAGGTGACACATACACACACACACACACACACATACACACACAATCACGTTTCCCTTTCCTATTTTGTTCACCTTTGCGCTGCTGTTTAGGGAACAAGATGGCAAGCTGAGTTCCCTCTAGTGGACAAATCACTTTCTCAGCTACTGTGGTTACTAACGGAAGCCAGCAAGACCAAGTTTTTACTGCTGGTCTCAGATCTTTCAAAAACAAGATATTCATAGGTAGGAATTTAGCTTGCCTCTCTTTGGAGGTTGTATCCACAAATTTATACATATGTTTACATGAAATAAATTAATATTTTGGAACCAGGCTAAGTACATTTGTTAATGATTTTAGCACAGAAGGAAGGAAGCATCCTTTAATGAGAATCCCATGCTTCATTATTGAAAACCACATTAACGTAACACCCAGAGTAACATGAAATCACAGGGAAACGGCTGCAGTGTTGAAGTTAGGTTTTTAGCTTCTGTAAAATCTAAAAATTATCTGTAACTTCATTGTTTTAAGACTTTTCTGCTTATAAAGTCTTTCCAAATGTTAATTACGTTTTCGTGTGTCATATAATTTCTTATTTCTCTTTCAAAAACTTATAGCTGATCCCCTGAATAGCTCTTTAAATATTTTTCCTTTTAAGTTTTAAATTCAATTTGTTTCCTTACCTTTCTGTGAAGACACCTTACCTAGTCTGTGTTCTGGGCACGTTTTGGCCAGGTGCCACAGGTGTCGAGCAGGTAGAGGAGGGCAAGGGTGCTCCTAGATTTCCTCCACAGGACAGTTCCCAAAACGAATGACCACACAGTCCAAAATAGTAGAGCGCCAAGGTGGAAAAACCCTGCTCTACAATAGCTGTCTTTAGACCTGACCTTACATCTAAAACAAGCAGCACCCGGAGGATGGCTGCACCTGCTGGAGTCAGACGGCGTGTTAGACTCCACAGGCAGCCGCCGCCTCCTGGAGTCGATGCAGAGTCTGTTTTTTCCACTCGCTACTGCTGCGCTCTGCTAGGGAAGGAGCTCTCCTCTCCCTCGTACTAAGCTGAAGTTGTTGATGGTGTGAAATTCGAAAGCCTTAGTACTAGAGGAGGCCGATGGCCATGCCGCCATCTTCTACTGGCATCTCCTCCCCAGCCGTCCTGCTCAAGGATGACTGTTCCTATTTCCAAAGCTATGATCTTTGTAACTTGTTCTCGGCCTTCAGCCTGTCCATGCTACCCTGCTCTGGTGCTGAAGGTTTTCTTTCTTTCTTTTTTTTTTTATTTATTTCTAGGAGAGAGAGAGACAGCATGAGCAGGGGAGGGTCAGAGAGAGAGGGAGTCACAGACTGAAGCAGGCTCCAGGCTCTGAGCTGGCAGTCAGCACAGAGCCCGAAAAGGGGCACAAACCCAAAAACAGCAAGATCATGACCAAAGCGAAAGTCGGACGCTTAACCGACTAAGCCACCCAGGCACCCCTGGTGCTGAAGGTTTTCTTAAACCTGACCTAAATTCTGCTGCTGCAAACTGGCTTCAGTGTTCATTTCACTACCAGAAACTTTGTGTAACTACCCTTTGTATACCTGAGGTATTTTGCTGGGTTGCTTCCTTGTGGTTGTTGCCTGTAATAGTAAGCCTTGTAATATTTTTAATATTTGGCCCTTTTTACAAATTTTTAAAGTTTATTTATTTTGAGAGAGAGTGCATGCACACAAGTGGGGGAGGATCCCGGTTAGGCTGGGTGCTGACAGTGCAGAGCCTGATGTGGGACTCGAACCCACGAACCGTAAGATCATGACCTGAGCCGAAATCAAGAGTCGCTTAACCAACTGAGCTAGCCAGGCACCTCTGTTTTTATAATTCTAACCTGAATCTCCTTTTAGTTGGAAAATGGAGGTTTGAGCCAAATATGGTTTTGACCAGCACTGTGTTTTTGATGCTCTTAACTGTTCTTGTTTTTGTCCACAACTCCTGGGCCTCTTCCTCCTGTATTCCTAGTCCGTTCCCATCATATATTGATATGCTATACCCATCCCCACTCCTGCCATCCCTAAGTATGTTATTTATTACTTCTACTTGTTTCATTTGTTTTATTCTTAGGTGCTTCTGGTTTGTCTTATAGTATTCTGGACTTTAATGCTCACCTTGGCAGTGTCTCTCTCGTCTCTTTTGTATTATTTTGTTTGTTCACTATACATAGTTTTGAGTACTTCACGTTGGTGACAGGCCCATAATCAGTCTTCAACCATCACCTCAAAGTCCAAGTAACTCCTTAGAAATAAATCATTGATACTCTTGCTTTGAACTTGATCTTCTTACAGATTTTACATACTTTTTAATAGTTGAATGACAGAAATGTTGGTGTTCGGTAGAACTTTCCACAGTAATGTTTCCATTCTCTATTTTGTGGTAGCCACTAGGGGCATGTAGCTCTTGAATAGTTGCAGTGTAGCTTGTATGACTAAGGAGCTAAAAATTAAATTAATGCCACTTAATTAATTAAATTTAAAATTTAAATAGCCTCACGTAGCTAGTCATCTTTGGACAGCACAGATCTTTGGCATTGCTACCCAAAATGTCATTCCCCAGACCAGCAGCATTGCCATTAACCGGAGCTTTCTAAAACTACAGACTTTTTCACCCGTCTAGCCCTTCTGAGCTAGAGCTGCAGTTCAGCAAGGTTTGCAGGTGATTTCCATGCACACTCAAGTTTGAGAGGCACTGATACTTGGCTGTACATTGGAGTCACATGGGAATTAAAAAAAAAAATATGGCCACTTGGGTCCCAGCCTTAGTGATTCTGATTTCATTGGTATTGGGTATGACCTGGGCATTGGGTTTTTAAAAAACATCCCCCAAGTGATTCTAACTGCTCAGCCAAGACTTGTGGTTCTCAAACTGCATGTATACTCACATCATCTGGGAATTGGAGAAAATACAGAGGCCCAGGCTTGTTCCTGCTTCAAGAAGCCTGAGTCTCTCTTTTCTCTACTGGCTCTCCCATGATTGTGATGCTCACATTTTGGGTTTGAAAATCCTTAATATAAAAGACAGTTTGCCACTTTGCCAGAACGATATGCCTTGCTGACTTGAATGAACACAGATCTGCTAGATCTTTTAGTTGTGTGACGAAATACAACACAATGCTTGCTCTTTACAAAGTCAGTGGCCCTTCGTGTTTGCACTATGTCTCCTGCTTGTGATCTTTTTTTTTTTTTTATACTAGTTGGTAAATTTCTGGTCTCCAAGATAAGTTTTTCCTCCCCTTTTAGACAGATAGAAGTCTCATTCACATTTTGGTTTTCAGAGTTGCTGGGAACTCTGCTAATGACAGCTGGCAACTTCATGGTCAGTTTGCCAGTTCCTTAAGGTGTGAGTTGGAGAGCCTCTGGAGCAGAATGTTCTGTAATATGGAAGCGTCTCAGAGTCCAAAAAAGCCCCACCCTGCTCCCCAGCTAGCCCCACGGCCAGTCAGATGCAGCATGTCAGCTGAGGGAGGTTGGCAGGGAGGAAAGATTTAAAGGTGTCTGGTACATTCAGATCCCAGATCACCAGACTTTAGGCTACAGGGTCTGGGGTGTTGCATTTGGCAGGATTCTGCCTTGGGAGCTGGGAAAGAGAATGGATAACTGAGTAACTCTTCTTCTTTCCAGTTTTTTACATATGCTTTTAAGTTTTATATCAACTGAAACCTTTTGTTTTCATGGTACAGAAAACTTTTTGCATACCAGTGCAGCCAGCTTTTTTCAGGATATGAGTTTATTAGCTATTTGTTTCCAGGAAATAGGATATGAATTGATGAAGGTTTGGAAAATATGTCAGGAACAAACTAATTTTCTCTATGAAAATTAATCACTATTATAAATATGCCACAGAACTGTCTTTCCTCTCTGATGATCAACTTCAGCTTCAGTCCTTATAAAATTGCAGGTACAAGGGAACGCGTATGGTTTTTAAAACCCATGAAGACTTCAGGACCCCCGTAGTGAGTCAACAGCATTTTTTATTGCTGTCCCTGCCAGATAATGGAAGGTCTGAAATCAAGTCATCAGATATGATGTGGAAAGGCAATAAAAAACTTGTGTCCTAGTGGAGATTAACTAGACTCTGTGTAGCCCCTCTGGCTGCAATAGATGAGAAAGAATAAGATGAAGGAGTCCAAGAAAAGAAGGTTGCCTGAGCACTAGGGCACAGATTTCCAACTCGTTCTCTTAAATGGAGGCTTGTCCTGATAGGAAGCCAGTGAGTCCAGCTGAGCTGTGGGGAGAGAGCGTGATAACCAGGGCTTTCCAGGGGCACCCTTCCCACTGAACTTCAAGAGGACTTTGGATAAATGGGGGCTCTCTTGGTTTGACCTAAGGCAAAAATGTTAACTTTTGGGCAACCTGATGCCATGCTTGGAGGCAAACCCTCAGTAAACAGTTTCCCTCTGTGAGGAAACTGGAGTCTCTGTGGATTAGTGTGAAAAATTCCCCAAAAGCCTACAGGCCAGGATGCATTTTTATGTTGTGAGTCGGCAGTGCTGCAGTTTGCCACAGTGGACATGAGCGTGACAGAAGCCCACTTCTGTTTCGCTCTCCTAACCATGGAGGCAGAATCCATTAAAAGCCGATTGCTTGTTGGTGGTAGGAAGAAAAGTCCAAAGCCCCTGGGGCTCAGGGGCAATAGGAGTGAGAAGACATCTCTTTAAATATTCTGGGTAAGCCTAGGTGGTGGCTCTAGACCAGGATGGTTAGCATGGAAAGGAGTAGTTGGGCACTACCACAATTTAGGCAAAATTCTAAG